AGCAATCCTTGGCAGTTCCTTGGCTTGTGGCTGCATCACTCAGCCCAATCTCTGCCTCCGTCTTCAGATGGCCTTCTTCTCTATGTCTGTGTCTCCTCTTCTGTCTCTTAGAAGGACACTTGTCATTGGATTTAGGGCCCATCCTAAATCCAGGATGATCTCATCTGAAGATCCTCAACTTAATTACATCTGCAAAGACCCTTTTTCCACATAAGGGCTCATTCACAAGTTTGGAGGATCAGGACTTGGATGTATCTTTTTGGGGCCACCATTCACCCCACTACACAGAGAATGGGGCCTGGCCCAGGGTGGAGGCAGGAGACCAGGGGGAGGTGACTGCACCGTTTCAGGCTTGTGACGGTGGGGTCTTGGCCGTGCTTGTGAGATAACTGGATTCCAGCTAGTCTGCATTGGAGAAAGTCATTTGTTCTACCCATCCTTGAGGACCTCCTGTGCCCCACACCCTGTCTGGGCTTCGGGGATGCCGTGGTCACCATGACACGCCATGAACGCACCAGATGATGCTTTTCCTGTCCTGTGGAGCCCACAGCCTAATGAGGGAGAAGGATCTCGAGAAGGAAATGAGGAAATAATTTAAACATCAGAAAGTGACAAGAAGAATACAGCACATGGGGGAGAGGCAAGGATAGTGCATGACTACTGCAGCCAGGGCGGTAGGTGTGGGGCATCCAGCACAGGCGGTCAGATGAGAAGGAGCCAACCGTGCAAAGACCTGGGGGATGGAAGAGTTCTCCAGGCAGAGGGAACAGCAGGTGCAAAGCCCAGAGGCAGGACCCGACCCTCCTGGGCAGAGTAACGATGAATCCCTCTTTTTCAATCCTTCTTCTTGGTTGGGCACTTAATACATTTGACAGGTATTAGGCTGAGAATTGCACTGTTGCCCCATTTACAGATGCACTGCTGTTGTGGGCCCTGCTTCCTCTTTGTAAATAGGACAATGGCAGTACCTACACTTTGCTGAGCTGGAGAACACTTGGAGCTTGTTATATTCAGTCTCCTGATACTCCAAGTAAGGAAACTGAGGCCCAGAGAGGGCAGGGTCTGCCCAGGTGCCACAGCTGGTAAGCGGTGGAGTAGGATCTGAACCAAGGCCATTGACTCCAGGGCACTTTTTCTTTCTTCTGGGCTCTGCTGGGGCTCACAGCTCTGGGACAGACACTTGAGGAATCAGTGTTTGCACAAGGCCCTCAGATCATGTCCTGCCTCCTCCCCTGGACCATTACTCCCAGGGGACCTCCTGGGCTGGCCCCCGCTCTTGGAACTTGCTTGTTCCTCTTTCTTCCTTACAGGGTAGGTATGAGTCAAGTTGCTGGGCAGATAAAATGCTAATTCAACTCTGTTTTCTTACTGACAGTGCATACCTCCCTGGGGAGAGGATAGCAACAGAGTTTATTGAGAATGTAGGACACGCCAGGCCCTCTCCTTAGAAGTCTCCATCCATCTCTTTTGTCCCCTAATGACCTGGAAGGCATGGGATCTTATTGTCCCCATTAACCAGGAGGCCCAGAGAGGGATGTACCCACCCATGCCCACTGTATGAGTGTCCTGGGGCTGCCGTAACAAATTACCACAATCTTGGTAGCTTAAAACAAAAGGAGTTTGTTGTCTCAAAGTTCTGGAGACCAGAAGCCCCAAATCAGCTTCTGGGGGGGTCCAGGCGTCCTTGGCTTGGCTTGTGGCTGCATCACTCCAGTCTCTGCCTCTGTCTCCTCAGAGCCTTCTCCCTTGTGTCTTTGTGCTCTCTCTTCTTCTTCTTTTTTTTTTTACTTTTTGGCTGTACTGCACAGCATGCGGGATCTTAGTTCCCCGACCAGGGATTGAACCCACGACCCCTGCAGTGGAAGTGCAGTGTCTTAATCACTGGACCGCCAGGGAAGTCCCTTTCTCTTCTTGTAGAGATACCTGTTATTGGATTTAGGGCCCACCTAGGCAATCAGGATGACCTCATCTCACACTTACCTTAATTATATCTGCAAAGGCCCTGTTTCCAAATAAGGTCATAGTCTGAGATTCTGGGTGTACATGAATTTTTGGAGACACTCTTCAACAACTGCAGTCACACAGGCAGAAGAGACTGGGCTGCATTTGAGCCAGCCTGTGGGGCACCAGCATCGTCCTTACATTCTAGGCCCTGTTTCTAGTGCTGGGACTACATCCCTGGACACAATAGACAGATAGACAGGGTGCCTGCTCTCATGGAAAAAGACAAAGAATTCAGGAAACCCACAAAGGAAGATGGCAGTTTTAGATTGGGATGATCACTTTGAAGGAATAAAGCGATGGTGGTGGGGGGGTGTGGGTGCTGGGAATGTATCAGTTACCTATGGCTGTGTAACAAATTACCCCTTTAACTAGGGGCTTAAAAAATGATCATTATCGTCTCCTATGTCTAGGCTTCCTTACAGCTCAGTGCTGGGTTCCCAGGGCCAGTGTCCTGAGAGAGAGGGAAAGCGAGAGGGCATGAGGGCTCCTGCATGCTGGGAAGAAGGTGTGCTGTCTTTGTGCCCTGGGCTCAGAAGTCACATAGCATCACTTCTGCTACATTCTCTTCCTTAGAAGCAAGCTCCTCAGTCTGCCCACACTCAAGTGGATGGGAAATAGAACCCACCTTTTGAAGGGAGGACTGTCAAAGGGTTTGCAGGGATATTTTAAAATAGCCATACTGATCCAAGCGGGGCAGGGCTGGGAGGACCCCTCTGAGCAGGTGTCATTGGAGCTGAGAGGTGAAGGATGAGAAGGAGCCGAGATGAGGGGCCTGGGGCAGAGTATTCCAGGCAGTGAGAGCTGGGCAAAGGCCCTGGGGCAGGAACCTCTGCCCTGCTGAAGATCAGGGAAGGAGGCAAGAGCAAGCTGGGGCAATGGAGGGTGATGAGGTGGCCAGATGCATGGGGCTGGGCCGTGCTGGGCCTCACAGGCCACAGGGAAGGCATTTGATTGAAAAAACAGTGGGAGCCTTAAAACATTATTTTAAAAAACTTTTTTGATTTTTGATTTTTTAAAAAATTTTTTAAAATTTAGGGAATTCCCTGGGCGGTCCAGTAGTTAGGACTCCACACTTCCACTGCAGGGGGCCCATTCCAGTCCCTGGTCAGGGAGCTAAGATCCTGCAAGCTGCACGGCGCAGCCAAAAAAATTTTTAAAAATTTATTTAAAAAATTTTTAAATTAAATTTTTATTTAAATTTTTTTTTTTTTTTTTGTGGTACACGGGTCTCTGACTGTTGTGGCCTCTCCCGTTGCGGGGCACAGGCTCCGGACGCGCAGGCCCAGCGGCCGTGGCTCACGGGCCCAGCTGCTCCGCAGCATGTGGGATCCTCCCGGACCGGGGCACAAACCCGTGTCCCCTGCATCGGCAGGCGGACTCTCAACCACTGCGCCACCAGGGGAGCCCAAATATTTTTTATTTCTAAAATTTATTTTTTTATTTTATTTTTTAAAAATTTGTGTTAAAAACATTTTACTATGGAAAATTTCAAGCTTACAGAAGTAGAGAGAATAATGTAATAAACCCATGTGCCCATCCCCCAGCTTCCGTGATCTTCATATGATTGTTTCCTCATCTCCACCCACTTCCTCCTGTGTCTGAATCTCAGTGGCACATCTTTCTATCTGTTAGTTTTCCAGGGTGTACATCTGGAAGGTAAGGACTCCTGTTTTTAACCTTGCCACAGACAGTCTTCATGAGTTTCATTCATTCATTCATTTTTATTGTAGTAAAACACATATAATATAAAATTTACCATTAGGGACATTGAGTACATTCACAGTGATGTGCAACCATCAGCTCTATCTAGCTCCAGAACATTTCCATCACCCCAAAAGGAAACCCTGTCCCCATTAGCAGTTACTCCCCATTCTCCCTCCCCCAGCTCCTAGTAACCACCAATCTGCTCTGTCTTCATGGGTTGTTTTTGAGGTGTAATTTACATATAATAAAATGCACCTGTTCTAAGTGTTCATTTAGGATTTGGGGAACCACACCCAGGTAACCTTCCTGGGGGCAGAGTGAGGACCACCTGTCTCGGTCAGGGCAGAGCAAGCTGCTGTAACAAACAGGTCCCCACTTGACAGTGGCTTAACCCAGCACAAAGTTACCTCTCAGAGTCAGGTGGCAGGGCAGAGAGCCAGGTAAAGCCAGAAGACCACTTGTTTCTTGAGCTCCTGCACTGAGAAATTCTAGCCTTCTTGGTTCTGTGATCTAAAGCCATTTCTGTTTGCTTAAAACAGCACGAACAAGTTCATGTCTCACTCATCTGACAGCCTGGCATCATCAGTGCTGGCTGCTCATCTCCACAGGGTCATTCAGGAACCTGGCTCCTTCCTACTGGGGTTCTATCTTCCCCTGGGGCCTCTGATCCCCTTGTCTCTACTAGCAGGTGAAGACAGAGGAGCAAGACACCTGCCATCAGGGCCTCTCGCTAGCCTGTCTTCTGGCCTTACCTGGGGCAGAGGCACCTCCTCCCCTGGGTGGGGGCACACGTGCTGGATGGCTCAGCCACCTGTGCCTAGTGCCATTGAGTAACTTGGGAGTGGAACAGACCCCCAGCTCAGGGGGTGGACCCCAGGGCCCGGTTGAGGCAGGCGGGGCATGAGGAGTCCAAGCTGGAGGCAGTGGGGGGGTCAGCATGGGGCACTTGGGCTGCCCCAGGAGAGAAAAACAAGGATAGGACTGGGCCTGGCTCCCTCAGGGTCACCAAGCAAGCTGTGGCGGAGGAGGACAGGGTGACTCTGATTTACACTGCATGGCCTGGCCAGCTGTGAGAATCCGCCGACTTCTGGGCTGACTGGTAAATGGCCCTTTGCCCTTAGTTTCTCCAAGAGACCCAGCAACCCAAGGGTCCTTATTGAACACTTGCCACCCTTGGGAACACAGGGACCTTCTCCTCCGCTTTCTCCACGTGGGGATGCTGAGGCTTGGGGTGGTCTCCTGGAAGCCGGGCAGGACCCTCAGTGACACCGTCCCCTCGTCCCCCCTCCCAGCGGCCTCTTCGTGCTGATGCGCGTGCGCCTGGAGCTGCGGTGGCACCAGCGCGCCCGCCACACCATCCCGCAGATCTTCCAGGAGGTGGTACGGCGGCAGCCTGAGCACCTGGCGCTGGTGGACGCGGGCAGTGGCGTGTGCTGGACCTTCGCGCAGCTGGACGCCTACTCCAATGCCGTGGCCAACCTATTCTGCCATCTGGGCTACACGCCAGGCGACGTGGTGGCCATCTTCCTGGAGGGCCGGCCTGAGTTTGTGGGGCTGTGGCTGGGTCTGGCCAAGGCGGGCATGGAGGCCGCGCTGCTCAATGTTAACCTGCGGCGGGAGCCCCTGATCTTCTGCCTGGGCACCTCGGGCGCCAAGGCCCTGGTCTTCGGACGGGAGCTGGCAGCGGGTGAGGCCGGGTGTGGGCAGCATCTCGGTGGGGGCCTGGGGCCGCCCAGGGCAGGGAGATGGTGTTTCCCCGGCCCTGGGAGGGGACCTGCCCGTCCTTGACCGTGACATATGTATTGGGCCGCAGTGGTGGCCGAGGTGAGTGGACAGCTGGGCAAGAGCCTGGTCAAGTTCTGTTCTGGAGACATGGGGCCCGAGGGTGTCTTGCCGGACATCCAGCTCCTGGACCCGCTGCTGAAGGAGGCCTCCACAGCCCCCCTAGCCCAGCCCCCTGGCAAGGGCATGGATGGTGAGTCCAGGTGGGATCCCCCCCTGCCGATGCCCACCCAGTCCCCTCGTCCGCCTCACGCCAGCCTCCGGTCCCCAACACCCACATCTCTCTTAGATCGACTCTTCTACATCTACACATCAGGGACCACAGGGCTGCCCAAGGCTGCCATCGTCGTACACAGCAGGTGAGGGGCCCGTGGGCATTGCCCCCAGCTCAGGAAAGCCACTCCAGTTCCTCTCTATGGCCTGATCCCCCCAACCCCCAGCTCCTTTTGGGGTCTTGTGGGCATCTTGATCCCAATTGGGTAAAACCCACAGCCCATCTCAGGACACCGTGCTGCCCTCTGCCCTTCCTCAGTCTCCTCCTGTCCCCACTCCTGCCCCCAACAGCCCCCTTCTCATCAGTGACCATAGCAAGGTTTAAAATCCTAAGTCAGACCTCCTCTGTGCCAAACCTCCCTGTACCCTCCTTGGCCCTCAGAATAAAAGCCGTATTTGTGTTGTGCGGCTCCCGCCACTTCTCTGATGTCATTTTCCTCCTCTCCACCTCTCGCTCGCTCCCTCCTCGACCCCTCACACTTCCTCAAACCTGCCAGACTCCTTCTGGCCTCAGGACCTTTGCATATGCTCTGCGCTTCACCTGGGTGCCCTTCCCTAGCTCACCCTACAGCACCTTCTTGCCGGGCATTAGCTCATGTGTCACCTCCCCAGGCAGGTTACCCCACCCTCCCTGGCTTTGTCCCCTTCAGCCTCTCTCTCTCCCTTTGCTCTATTATATCCCTCATGGCAGCAAGCACCATTTTCTTTATTTGTTGCATGTTCCTCTCCTGCCAGCCTATAAGGCCCCTATGAGCTGGGCTGGCTCTGCCTCAGTACGCAGCTCGCTCCCCCCACGCCATGCTTTTTTCGGGGGTGTGGGTCCCAGCCCCTGCACTCCCTGCCCCTGCAGGTACTACCGCATAGCGGCATTTACCCACCACTCCTACAGCATGCAGGCGGCAGATGTGCTCTACGACTGTCTGCCCCTGTACCACTCGGCAGGTACCACAGGGAAGCTTGGGCGGGGGAGGGGGCGGGGAATTGGGGACCCCTCATTGAGTCCACTCTCTGCAGGGAACATCATTGGCGTGGGTCAGTGTCTCATCTACGGGCTGACTGTGGTCCTCCGCAAGAAGTTTTCAGCCAGCCGCTTCTGGGATGACTGCGTCAAGTACAACTGCACGGTCAGGCCCCGCCCCCTCTCGCACCTCCAGCCCTCCGCCCACCCTCCCAAGTATTTGGCTCTGAATGGCTGCCTCCCAGGGACTCGGTGGGGCTGGGAGCGGGCAGTCAGTGCTTCTGTGCTCAAGGCCCAGCCCGAGGCTAAACCTTCAACATGTAAACTCATTGGAACCTCACAGCTGCTTGGGAGCGGGCAAAGGCCTCATACCCATTTTGCAGGTGGAGAAACTGAGGCTTTTAATTGGACACAGACTGCCTGAGATCCTTAAGGTGCTGCCTTCCCTACTCCCTGTGCCCCGAAGGTCTTCCCTGCTGGTGGCTGCAGGGAAATGGGTGCAGTCACCGCGCTGGGCTGGTTAAGGCCACAAAGCCCAGGGCTTCCTGGTGGGATAAGCAAGAAGCAGAGGTGGAGGGCATCCACTGTCCTGCAGAGCAGGTAGGGGTTAAGACAAATCCCTTCCTCTCCTCTCCCCTCCACAATGAGAGGAGAGCAGGCCGAGGATTTCAGTGCTGTGATGGGGGTGGAAATACAGGTGCCTAGTACCTTCCTCCAGGTGGAAGAAGGAGTGAGGAGGGGAGGGAAGGGGGTGTGTCCAGGGACTGGCAAATTGGCAGGTGCTGACCCCACCTTGAACAGGTGGGGCCCAGAGACGTTCAGCCACTTGCCCAGATCACACAGCTGGACAGGGTGGGGGCTCTGGGCCGGGGCATCCTAGGGGATCCCTCGGGGTGATGACTCTGCCCTGCTGTGCTTTTGAGGATTTTATGTTCTGCTTGGGGTGGTGGGGGGTGGTCTGGGGAAAACTGCTAATCTGAATCTTGAAATAGAAGACAGTCCCTTTATTAACTTAACTCTTGAGAGTTGCAAATATACATAAATGTGGAAAGAAAAGTTTAGGGGATTCCCAGGTATCCATCACTCGGCTCCAGAGGACATCAGATACCCTCTCCTGCCCCCTCCATGCCCCCAGCACATCCCTCCTTCTGTGTTGTTGTGAAGCAGCCCCAGATAGCAGCGTGTTTCCTGCATGGATATGTCAGTAAAACCTCTGAAAGCTGAGGATTGGTCTTTTTTTTTTTTTTTTTTCAATTGAGGTGAAATTCACGTAAGATTAGCTTTTTTTTTGTTGTTTTCAATTTTTGAACTATTTAGTTTTATTTATTTATTTATTTATTTTTTGGCCACGCCTCACGGCATGCGGGATCTTAGTTCCCCAACCGGGGATGGAACCCGTGCCCCCTGCAGTGGAAGGGCGGAGTCTTAACCGCTGGATCGCCAGGGAAGTCCCCAAGATTAGCTGTTTTAAAGTGGACACTTCAGTGGCACTTAGTCCATTTACAGTGTTGTACAGTCACCACCTCTATGTAGTTCCAGAACATTTCCATCAACCCCAAAAGAACATGCTGTCCCCACTGGCAGTCATTCCCCATTCCCCTTCCCCCAGCGCCTGGCAACCATGAATCTGCTTTCTGTCTCTATGGGTTTGCCTGTTCTGGACATTTCTTATAAATGGGATCTCTGTGTGGCCTTTTTTGTCTGGTGAGGGCTGTTTTTAAAACAAAAGATTTGGGACTTCCCTGGTGGCGCAGTGGTTAAGAATCCACCTGCCAATGCAGGGGACTTGGGTTCGATCCCTGGTTCGGGAAGATCCCACATGCCACGGGGCAACTAAGTCCGTGCACCACAACTACTGAGCCTGCGCTCTAGAGCCCGGGAGCCACAGCTACTGAACCTGCGTGCCACAACTACTGAAGCCCGCGTGCCTAGAGCCCGTGCTCCATAACAAGCGAAGCCACCGCAATGAGGAGCCTGTGCACTGCAACAAAGAGTAGCCCCCGCTCACCGCAACTAGAGAAAGCCCCCACACAGCAACGAAGACCCAACACAGCCAAAAATAAATAAATTAATTAATTTAAAAAAAATGAAGCAAAAGATTTGAAAGCAGGGTCTCAAAGAGATATTTGTACACCCATGTTCATAGCAGATTATTCACAATAAATAAAACATGGAAGCAATCCAAGTGTTCAGCAACAGAATGAATGGATAAGCAAAATGTGGTTCATCCCTACAGTGGAATATTATTCAGCCTTAAAAAGGAAGGAAGTTCCGACACAGGCTACAATATGGATGACCGTTGAGGACATTATGCTGAATGAAATAAGCCAATCGCAAAAAGACAAATACTGCATGATTCCACTTATATTGGGTACTCACAGTAGCTAAAATCATAGACAGAAAGTAGGATGGTAGTTGCCAAGGCCAGGGGAGGGGGGAATGGGGAGTTAGTGTTTACTGGGTATAGAGTTTCAGATTTACAAGGTAAAAATATTTTGGGGGGGGAATTCCCTGGCAGTCTAGTGGTTAGGCCCCGGCACTCTCACTGCTGAGGGACCGGGTTCTATCCCTGGTCAGGGAACTAAAAATCTCAGAAGTCACGTGGTGTGGCCAAAAAAAAAAAAAAAATATTTATGGGGAACTGTACACTTAAAAATGGCTAAGATGGAAAAGAAATGGCTAAGATGGTAAATTTTATATTGTGTGTATTTTACCCCAATAAAAGAAAGAGTAGAAAAGAAGGAAAAAACCCCACAAACACATAACCTCAGTATCATTATCCCAGCCAAAAAGTGCCAGTGATTTCTCAATTATCAGGAATCCGGACAGTGGCCTGATCCCCAGTGTTTTACCATGTCAAAATATGGTTTTTTTTTTGTTTCTGTATTTTTTTAAAAAATCAGTGTTTAGGTAAGACCCACACATTGCAACTAGTTGATGTTTCCTATAAGAATCCTTTCATCTGTAGGTGCCCCTTGTCTCTCCCTCATTCTCCTCCCACCCCTCCTTGTAATTTATTTATTGAAGAAATGAAGTTTGGCCTGTAGTGTTTTCCCAGTCTGGATATTGCTGGGAGGTCCTTTGACATGCTTCTCTCTCCCTGGCACTTCCTGTACCTTGGGAGTAGGGTCAAGCGTAGCGGGTTTTTTTGTTTTGTTTTTTTAACTACTTTTTAAAATTGACATATAGTTAATTTATACAGTGTTGTGTTAGTTTCAGGTATACAGCAAAGTGACTCAGTTATATATATATATAAACATTATATATATATATATTCTTTTTCAGATTATTTTCCGTTTTCCATTATAGATTATTACAAGATATTGAATATAGTTCCCTGTGCTATACAGTAGGTCCTGTTGTTTATTTTATATATAGTAGTGTATATATGTTAATCCCAGACTCCTAATTTATCTCTCCCACCCATCCCCTTTGGTAACCTTAAGTTTGTGAGTCTATTTCTGTTTCATAAACAAGTTCATTTCGATCATTTTTTTTTTTTGCGGTACGCGGGCCTCTCACAGTTGTGGCCTCTCCTGCTGCGGAGCAGAGGCTCCGGACGCGCGGGCTCAGCGGCCATGGCTCACGGGCCCAGCCGCTCCGCGGCATGTGGGATCTTCCCGGACCGGGGCACGAACCCGTGTCCCCTGCATCGGCAGGCAGACTCTCAACCACTGCGCCACCAGGGAAGCCCCATTTCTATCATTTTTAAAGATTTCACATAGATGTGATATCATATGATACTTGTCTTTCTCTGTTTGACTTAGTTCTTTTTATATGATAATCTCCAGGTTGGTCCATGTTGCTGTAAATGGCATTATTTCATTCTTTTTTATGGCTGAGTAATATTCCATTGTATATATATGTACCACATCTTCTTTATCCATTCCTCTGTCAGTGGACACTTAGGTTGCTTCCATGTTTTGCCTACTGTAAATAGTACTGCTATGAACATTGGGGTGCACGTATCTTTTCAAGTGAAGAGTGTTGTCCAGATATATGCCCAGGAGTGGGATTGCAGGATCACATGGTAACTCTATGTTCAGTTATTTGAGGAATCTCTATACTGTTCTCCATAGTGGAAGCACAGCATCTCTCAACCACAGCAGTGTGGCTTTGGAGCCGCATAATTCTCTGTGGTGAGGGCTGTCCTCTGCCCTGTAGGTTATTTAACAGCATTTCTGTTCTAAAATCACTGGATGCCACTAGCACCCCACCTCCCAGCTGTGATCATTAAAAACGTTTCCAGACATTGTCAGGTGTCTTGACTGTGGTTGAGAACCACTGATCTAGATATTTGATCGCTTCAAGTCCTGCTTTTTTGGCAAAGGTTCCCTGTGGGTGATGTCGTGTCCTCCACCGGGAGGCCTGTGGTGTCTGGCGGTCCCTCTCTTTGTCTTTGACATGCTGTGTTGCATTGGGCTTTGTTCACTGTCTCTGGGGCCCCTGAAATTCCATTCTGTTTCCTTGAAGGGGTATTTCTGTGACCAAGAGAAGGCACTGAGGGGCTCTTTAAGGAGTAGAGGATGGAATCCTCAAAGGTCAAGTTTAACAAGGATGCCAAAAAGACTTAAGAGCTTGCGTTTGGGTTTAGAAATCCCATCTCATGGCTGGCTGTAGGATGGGGGAAACTGTGTGGCTGTTTTATTTGCAGCAGTGGGCATGGCCCAGATCAACTGCCCAGCCATCTTCATGGGAGGAAGCAGGCTGTAATCTCCCCTTTTTTAGCGCATAAAGCAGATGGGCAGGCGACAGGTAAGTCAACCCATCATCCATCCATGGGTGTATAGTTCCTGTGTCTCCCCATACCCACTTGGGTGTGTACATTTGGTGTACGAGGTCACCCTGACTCGGGAGTTGTAGTGGGGGTCCCAGGTTGACAATTCACTTTCCAGGTGCTGCCCTGCAGGCAGGAGGTCTCCGCTGGGGCACCTGGTGTCTGCCTCTCTGAGCTGACCTGAGTTGTCTTCCCTTCAGCCCTGGGTCTGTCCGAGGGTCCAGGCCAGAGTAAAGATCAGCTGTCTGGCTCTCAGTATGTAGATGTGGCCTCAGGGCCACAGGGTCATTGAAACCTTTAGCTGCCTCAACTGTGGCTGTGTTGTCCCTTCCCCAGCCTGGTTTCTGAAGAGGACATCTGTGAGCTGCTCAGAGTGTGGCTGTGTCTACCTGTGATGGTCTGGAGGGCAGCTATGTATTTAGGCAGGACTTTGTCAGTTGACAGGTAAAACCAAAACCCTAAACCCAGCCCTAACCTAAATTCTGGCTTTCTTGAGGAAAGGGATTTATTAGCTTATGGAACCGAGGAGGCCACATGGTGGACAGCTTCAGGCACACCTTGATCAAGGAAGGCCTCTCTCTCTCTCTCTCTCTCTCTCTTTCTTGTTTTCCTCTTCCTCTTGTTTTCTTCTTTCCTTAGTGGGTGGCTTCCTCCCCAGCCCTGCTTCTCCAGGAGTGTTCCCCGCAGTTCTAGTTGAGAAAGAGCCTGTCTTCCCACCAGTCCATTAAAAGTCTCAGGGCTGATTCTTATTGGCTTAGCTGTGGTCACATGCTTATCCTTGAACCAATCAGTGTCTGGGGATGGACTGGAATGATTGGCCAGGCTGTATGACTTGTTCTGTCCTGGAGATGGGGGTGGGCTGGGCCACACCCAAAGCACATGAGGGAGCCTGGGGGCAGAGGGAGAGAAACCATCAGGGTCTCTGATCTTGCCTTGCCTGGGGCTTGCTTCCTGGTCAGCAGCGGGTGATCTTGGGCCTCCTGTGCCCCCTCTCTGGGTCTCAGTGCCTTCCTCTCCAACATGGAGTCTCAGGAAGATGAAACAACTGAGCTCTCTGCTTGGCTGTTAGTGAGTGCTCAGTGCACTTGTATGTATCAGATCCTTATTAAGTCCTGCTCAGGGGATACCTCTCAGTCACGGTGACATTTGAGCCGAGACCTGAGGACCCAGGTGCATCTGGGGGAAGATTGTTCTAGGCAGAGGGCACAGTATGTGCAAAGGCCCTGAGGAGGAGACCCACGTGGCAGAGCCGAGTGAGCATAGGAGTTAGAAGGACAGGGGGCAGTGAGGGCGGCAGGGTCACATGGAATTGATCACAGGTCGAATTTTGTACTTCATCTAGTGAGTACTTTGAAGCTGTACTGATTGCCATGGTGGTTAATTCTGAACATGTAACTGCTTCATTGAGACTCTGGAGCCAGGATGCCCAGATACATATCAAATTTTACCACATTATCAGCCTTGGTGGTTACTTACTGTCTGTGAACTTCAGTTTCTCCATCTGTAAAATGGGGAGGGTATCATTAAGAAGCCGTCCTGGAGATGAGGACTCAAGGGCACCTGGGGTATCTGGGACTTGACCCCAGGGGGTGGAGCCACAAGACAGGGAGAGAAGGAGCCCAGGGGGCGGTGCGGGGCGGGGAGGGAGTGAGTAGGTGACTCCATGGGCAACTGGGGCTGGGTCCCTGCTGTGACTTCAGGGAGGCAGCGAAGAGCATGCATCTGAGAGTGGTCCCACCCCAGGATCAGGACTGTGGGCGCCCTGAGCTCAGATGGTTGGGGCTCTAGGGAACAGTGTAGAGCACATCGCCTCTGGGCTGAGGGTTGCCCTGTGGAGTGTCAATGCCACGGCTCACCTTCCTGCCTGCGTGCACCACACGTGGTGTCCCCAGAAAGCAGCGGAGGGGATAGAGGGACCGCTGGAGGGGCATGGGGGACGCGATGCATCCACTCAGATGGAAGGAGCGTTGGGGACTGAGGGAATGGATAGGCCTGGTCTGTTTCCTTGCTATTATCATCTTTAAGGCCGTTTTGTTCCTAGCGCCCAGGTTGGAGTGGGGGAGGTCGCTGGGTCTGGGGGTCTCTGGCCCGCGGCAGCCTCCACCCCCAGCCGGCTCCTCTCTGCTCCAGCGCAGGCGCCCACTGCTCACTTCCCACCCACCTAGGTGGTCCAGTACATCGGGGAGATCTGCCGCTACCTGCTGAAACAGCCGGTGAGCGAGGCAGAAGGGCGGCACCGCGTGCGCCTGGCGGTGGGCAACGGGTTGCGGCCAGCCATCTGGGAGGAGTTCACGGAGCGCTTCGGCGTGCGCCAGGTCGGCGAGTTCTACGGAGCCACCGAGTGCAACTGCAGCATCGCCAACATGGACGGGAAGGTGGGCGTGGGCGGGGCGGCCCGGCCCGGGCAGGTCTCGGGGTTCAGGGATCGCTGCTACCTATGCCTCGCCGGCCCCGTGTCCCCAAAGAACAGCCTGGAGTGTGGTGGGCAGTTCGGCCAGGGCACTCGGATGCTTTCTTCTGGCTTGTCCAGTCATGTGACCGTCGCCCCTGAGTTCAAATTCACAGCGTGACTGTGTTGTCCTGGGCAAGCACCTCAGCCTTTCTGAGCCTCAATTTGTAGCAGTGGAGGTGGCAGGGGAGAGCAGGGCTCTGGGGGGGTTTCAGGGCCAGAAATGGGGTGCTGATCTCCTCCTACTGGGCAAGTCACTCAGACTCCTTGGGTCTTCGTTTCCTTATCTGTAAATGGGGTTAACAACTTATTAGGTTTGTTCTAATCACCCAACATCATGAGCTCAGCACAGCACCCCTTCCCCGTTCAGTAGGCACTCTGCAAACAGATGCTTTTATGATTAATAATTATTATCTCCACTCTGCCCTCTCAGGACCCTCCTTCTCCCTTATTAAGCCCTTCCCATCCAAAGTCAGGAACAGAGAACGAGAAGAATAATACATCACCCTAGGGGGTAGGGGTTCTTTCTGTCTCTCGCTGCTGGGTCCCCAGCACCTGAGGACAAGGCACAGTCCCCACCACGCACATCTGTTGAATGGACGGTCCCAGAGCACACTCTGGCCGTACCAGCAGAGGTTGCCGCTCTAACAAATATACCCAACCGTGTGCAGCGGCAGAAACCCATTAGGCCTTTCTGCTCATAGAACTGAGCCAGGCAGGGTGACATGCAGTGGGCAGCGGGCAGAAGCTCTGCCATTGTCCCTACATGGCTTCAGGATCACTTTGGCCATCCACTTCCTGCCAGCCTGGAAAGTTTTAAGGACCAGGAAGTGGCGGCCGGCTGGCAGGTCTCCTCACATGACTGCAAGGGAGGCTGGGAAGGTGGGAGAGGGGGGCACGATTCCTGGCAGGATGCTGCACTTAATACCCCCATCTTTCAGATCATCCAAGGTCACAGAGTTGGGTGACACTAGGGAGTGCTAATTCCAGGCCCTGGGGCAGGAGAGGCAAGGTGTGTGTGGGGGGGGCGGGGAGGACACCGTGTCACCCCGGGGCTCCTCGTTGACTCGGCTGGCCGCATCCCAGGTCGGCTCCTGTGGCTTCAACAGCCGCATCCTGCCCAATGTGTACCCCATCCGACTGGTGAAGGTCAATGAGGACACCATGGAACTACTGCGGGATGCCCAGGGCCTCTGCATCCCATGCCAGGCCGGTGAGCAGGGTCCCACCCAGTCCCCCGGGGAGCCGGGGCCCCCCCCGCCTCCTGCCCGCCCAGCACAGCCCGAGCGCCGCCTCCTCCCTAGGGGAGCCCGGCCTCCTCGTGGGCCAGATCAACCAGCAAGACCCTCTGCGTCGCTTCGATGGGTACATCAGCGAGAGTGCCACGAGCAGGAAGATCACCCACAGCGTCTTCCGCAAGGGTGACAGCGCCTACCTCTCAGGTGTGCAGACCCTGGGGGCTGGCCGTAGGGATGGCAGGTCGCCGTCTTACCTCCCCCTCTCCTCTCTGCCAGGTGACGTGCTGGTGATGGATGAGCTGGGCTATATGTACTTCCGGGACCGCAGCGGGGACACCTTCCGCTGGCGTGGGGAGAACGTCTCCACCACTGAGGTGGAGGGCGTGCTGAGTCGCCTGCTGGGCCAGACAGATGTGGCCGTGTACGGGGTGGCCGTGCCAGGCAAGCTGGGGGCTCTGGGGGTGGTTCTAGGGTCCTGGGAGCAGCCCCGGAGGAGCCCAGCCAGGAGGAGCTTGGAGGTACAGGTACCCCTGTAGGCAGGACCTGAAGCAGTGCACAACCTGGACAACTGCACCCGACAGGGTGGCGGCCTGGATCTGGAATCTCTCCTCATGCCTGATGTTGAGCCTCAGTTTCCTCATCCAGAAAATGGGCTCATGAAATCAGCCGTGGCTCAGGGCTGCAGGGAGTGCAGCAGGAGCTCCATAAAATGTTTGCTGCTTTGGCGAGCATTATTCCGGGTGGAAGGGACTGGAGGTCAGAAGCCAGGGGCCACCGTTGGAGGGTGGATCTGGTCCCATGGAGGGGCGAAGGGCGGTGGTCTCAGCCAAACCTCTGTCTCCAGGGGTGGAGGGCAAAGCAGGCATGGCGGCCATTGCGGACCCCCACGGACAGCTGAGCCCCAATGCCCTGTACCAGGAGCTGCAGAAGGTGCTGGCACCCTACGCACGGCCCATCTTCCTGCGCCTCCTGCCCCAGGTGGACACCACAGGTGCGGCCCCCTGTCTCTTCGTGTATCCATCTGTCTTTTAGTTCCTCAGTCATTTACTTATTTGTCCTAGTTCAGTCCCTGTGCCAGGTCCGACGTAATGGTTCATGGCCAGCCGGCACTGTGGGCCAAGCCCTTTTCTTGTTTTATTTACATACTTATTTCTTTCTGTTTCTCACTCGCACTCCCACTGGGTATCCTGCAGTATTGGGTGCATTTCTTTATATTCAGCATTTTTTCTGATGACTAGGAAATTTGAGCAAATCATCTCACACCTCTGAGGTTTCCTCTGCTGTAAATCACCCTTCGTATCTTTGACCCGTCTTTGTATTGCCTCATCTTTCTTTGTGATTTACGGAAATTTCCCGTAATAGTCTAGATGTTAATTCCATAGTGGTTTCAGACCTTCTACATCTCTTCTGTTTTGGAATCTCTTAACTCTGTCCATGGTGCCCTTTATTGAAAAGGAGCCTCTAATTTTGATACAAACTTAAACACCACCACCACTACCGCCTCTGCTTTTTCAATTTTGTGGTTTGTGCTTTTGAAGTTTCATTTGAAAAGAAAAAAAACCTTCCCAACTCTAGAGCACACAGGGATTCTCCCTCCATTTTTTTCTACCAACCCTAACCCTGTCTTTCACAAAACCCTTCTTTAATAGTCTACCGCAGGGAGTGCAAACTTTTTCTTAAAGTCCCAGATGGTAAATATTTTCAGTTGTGGGCCACAGCCTCTGCAGCAATAATTCAGCTCTGCAGCTGTAGGGCAAAAGCAATAGTAAACAGTGTGTACGTGAATGGGCGTGGCCCACCTCGAATGGTGGGCCGAATCTGGCCCGTGGGGTGGGCCATGGGCCTATAAGTTGCTGACTCCTGGCCTACTGTGTGACAGAGCCAGCCCTGTCACCTTCTTGGTCTTGTGGGGGGTCGGCACGTGACCAGGCAGGGGGTACACAGAGTTTCAGGCCATGATGAGGGTGGTCAGGGAGGCCTCCCTGGAGGAGGGGGCATGAAGCTGAGATCCAAAGGCCAGGGGGGAGTCAGGCAGGCAAAATGGGGAAGAATGTTCCTAGCAGAGGCCTCTTCAGAGGCCTGGAGGTGCAGGACAGGATGGCGAGTTGGGGGGGGTGGATTCCTGGAATCCCCCTGCCGAGTCCCCACCCCACCCCCACTTCCACCCCCACCCCCATCCCCACAGGCACCTTCAAGATTCAGAAGACGAGGCTGCAGCACGAGGGCTTCGACCCACGCCAGACCTCAGACCGGCTCTTCTTCCTGGACCTGAAGCAGGGCCACTACCTGCCTCTGGATCAGGGTGTCTACACCCGCATCTGTTCGGGCGCCTTCTCCCTCTGACGCTCTTCCTCGGCCCACCAGAGACTTTGCACCAGGCCCAGCAAGCGAGGGGGGCTTGAGCCAGACAGCCCTGCCCTGTCCTGGGGGCAGAGAAACTGGATCCCGGGAGGAGCCTGTATTTCCCGCCTTCACCCTCCTCCTCTCCCCCTCTGGTTGCCCGCTGCCTGTCTTCCACTCCTGTGTCTGTGTGTGTGTCTGTCTCTGCGCCCTGCTTCTCGGCCTCCCTCCTGCCCCTGACTGCCCTCACCTCTCTCCTCCATCTTTCCTCCCCTGCCCTCTTCCTGCCGAAAGTAGAACAGACATTTCCTGGGAGCTGGGGTCTGTGCGGAGGCCCAGCTGCCTTGGGGGCCTCCGCGGGTCCTCCCCACTGGGTGGTAAACCCGAGTGGGGCCTCTCCACCTCCCTCTCAGCTGTGCCTTAACAAGGCCCACCCAGCCCAGACCTCCCTAGGCTGCTAGATTCCTGGACGTTGTAGCACTGCATGAGCTCCAGGCAGGCCCTCCACTCTCCTTGCGGAACTGAGGAGCCGGGGGTGTCTGCCTGGCCAGCCCGCGAGTAGGGGGGCCTCGGCCAGGGGTGCAGGTCAACGGGAAATCTCTCCCCGGCCGGGCCAATTGCCTTTTGCACTTCCTATCCCTGGTGGGTCTCCCTTGCCTTGCCTGCCCTTCCTGATACCCCAGAAACTTCTGGAACTGACTGTGACCACTTGGATGTTTCCCCTGCCCAGATGTCCCTGTTCAGGCGTCTCCCCTGAAGATGGCTCTGGGTGGCTGCTCAGCCTACTGCTCAGATGCTCACCCTGGCAGAGGCCTCTTGGGGATTCTACCTGGTGTGGCTGCTGGAGGGACACACGGGAGTGGCAGCAGTGGGGTTGCGAGAAGCCTCCAGGCCAGGGGTGGCATCTGAGATGGCCTCTTGGGCCTCAGGCATTCCAGCCTATTGAATGTCCCGCTAGCCTTGCTAGTGACAGCTCGGACCCTGGGTTGGTGACATCCCGAGACAACCCTGCCAGGACGGCTCGGACATCCCCATCAGCTTCGTCGATGGCTCAGCCTGGACACCCACCGTTGGGGCCTGCCACCCAAACTGCCCCTCTGTCCCTGCCCCCGGCAGCACCGTCCCGCACCTAGAACAGCAAGGCCAGTAGCAGGTGACCCCATGCTGTTTTGCACGGGCCTTTCTAAGCACTGAGATTTTGTTTCCTAGCTGAATTTAAGAAATAAACCTAAAAAAAAAAAAAAATAAACCTGCAGAGTGTCTGGTGCCTGATGGGAACTCAGTCACTCACCGTTTGTCCCCACGTGGCCCAGAACCCTGTCAGTTTCAGGCCTCTCACCGGGGAACACACAGTCACCAGACATGAGCAAAACACACTCAGCCTTTACTTACAGCTCCTGTTGCCTCTTCTCCAACCTGCAAGGCTTCAGGGGTCTGGGGATGGGGGCGGGGGGTGGCACGTGGGTTAGCGTTCTCGCCACCTCCCTGCAGCCTCTGGGTCCTCGCATAGCCCCGTGCTGACCTTGGTGGTCCCGGGAGAGGGACAGCCTATCTGCCTTGGGTTCCGGCAGGTGCACAGGATGGCCGGGGACAGAGGGTGTGTCCTGGCATGTCTGGCTGCCCCAGGAAGGGAGCCCCTCTGTGTGTGGGGTCAGCACGTAAGGCCATAGCTCTGGGCGAGAACCACTGAGCCTGCAAGGGTAGCTGCCTGAGATGGGATTTGAACCCAGGACATTGAGCTCCAGAGTTCATACTCTCAGCTCCCACCTTCAGCTGTCCCCCCTCCAGAATTATAATGTCTGTCTCATCTCCATTTCAAGGGACAGAGGAAGAAAGTCTTACGACAACGGAGCATTTGCTAGGAGGGAGCGCCCAGGGGGCGACCCTGGGGTTGGATGGGGGGTGGATGAGTCCTTGGCCACCTCAAGGATGGATGAACCATTGATGTGTGGAGCTGGTCCTTGGCTGCCCACAGTGCAAAGAGGGGGATGTAAGGTATAGCCTCTGAGATGCCCAGTGAGGGTGGGAGAAGGATCTGGTGCTGGTGGGGATGGAGCTTCCCTGGTGTGCTGATAAGCAAGTGTATTCTGGGTAACATCCCTTCAGACATCCAACCACCTCCAAAGGTATCATCATGGTCCCCGTTGTACCGATGAGGAAACTGAAGGCACAGGGAGGGGAATGAACTCATTGTCAGGGCCTCTGGTGAGAAAGTGGCCCAGTGGGGACCTTTCTCATTGCAAAGCCTGTGACGCTAGTTGCAGCAGTGTAAGAAGTTCTCTCCAGACCAGCAAGAAAATAATCCTGATGTCTCTTAGGATCAGGGTCTGCATTTGTTTGCTTTCTAAAATTAATTAATAGGGGACTTCCCTGGTGGCATAATGGTTAAGAATCTGCCTACCAATGCAGGCAACACGGGTTCAATCCCTGGTTCGGGAAGATCCCACATGCCGCAGAGCAACTAAGCCCGTGCGCCACAACTACTGAGCCTGCGCTCTAGAGCCCGTGCTCCGCAACAAGAGACGCCACCACAATGAGAAGCCTGTGCACCGCAATGGAGGGTAGCCACGGCTCACTGCAACTAGAGAAAGCCCGAGCGCAGCAACGAAGACCCAACGCAGCCAAAAATAAATAAATAAACTTATTAAAAATAATAAAATTAATAGATTTTACTTATTAGGGCAGTTTTAGGTTTACAGGAAAATGAGTGGAAAATACAGAGTTCCCATATACCCTCTCACCTCTGCGCCACTGTTTGCACTATAATTAACATCTGGCATTAGTGGGCTACATTTGTTACACTTGATGAGCTAATGTAGATACATTATTATTAAGCCAAGTCCGCAGTTTACATTAGGGTTCACTCTGTTATACATTCTGTGGGTTTCAACAATTGCATAAAGACATGCATCCACTGTTACAGTATCACAAAGAATAGTTTCTCTTGCCCTAAAATTCCCATGTTCCATCTCTTCATTCCTCCTACCCCAACCCCTGATCTTTTTACTGTCTCTACAGTTTTGCCTTTTCCAGAGTGTCATGGACTTGCAATCACACCATGTGTAACCTTTTCAGACTGGCTTCTCTCAGCAAGATGCATCTGATGTTCCTCTATGCCTTCTCGTGGCTTGATAGCTCTGTATTTTTTATACCAAATGAGAAGCTCTGTGACTTGCCCCCGGGACCCTCGGTAAATCAGGAAGAGAGCTAGGATTCGAAGGTGCTGTGCCCTGAGCCTCTCCTTTTTGGAGCGGCCCTGGAAGGATGTGCACAGAGGGGATGTCTTTATTTGCGATGTGGGAAGAAAAACGCCCCAGCCCGGCGTTGGCAAGTACACTGTGAGAGGCAGGGGCTGAGAAGTGCATGAAGGACCAGGAAGGAGCAGCAGCTGCCCGAGAGGGCACATGGAGGAGGAGAGTTGGGGGCCAAGAGCTTCCTGAGGACGGGCGGCTGCAGGCTGAATCCCTGCCCCACACCCCTTGAGGGTCTCCATCACTCTGGGGAAGATTCCAGGCTCTGGCTAGCGCTGTCATCCTGCAGGCTTTTTTCCTTGTACCACAGATGGTTGTTTCCAGCCTGTGTCTGGCCTCAGCGCCTTTGCTCCTGCTGTCTCATGTGCCTGAATCACTGGTTTATTTTTTAAGTGAGCTATTATTCATATACCATAAAATGCACCCTCTTAAAATGTGCAACTTAGGGCTTCCCCGGTGGCGCAGTGGTTAGGAGTCTGCCTGCCAATGCAGGGGACATAGGTTCGAGCCCTGGTCGGGGAGGATCCCACATGCCGCGGAGCAGCAGAGCCCATGCGCCGCAACTACTGAAGCCCGTGCTCCACAACTACTGAAGCCCGCGTGCCTGAAGCCCGTGCTCCACAACAGGAGAAGCCACCGCACCGAGAAGCCCGCGCACCGCAGCGAGGAGTAGCCCCCGCTGGCAGCAACTAGAGAAAGCCCACGCACAGCAACGAAGACCTAACGCTGCCAAAAATAAAAATAAGATGAAATAAATGAATTTAAAATATAATAAAAATAAAAAAACATTTAAAATGTGCAACTTAGTGGCTTCTAGTATATTCACCAGGTTATGCAGCCGTCCCCTCTGTCTAGTTCCAGAATATTTTCATCACCCCAAAAGGACACCTCATGTCCCTTAGAAGTCACTCCCCGTTCCCCTTCCCCAGCCTCTGGCAAGTACTACTTTCTGTCTCTACGGATATGTTTTAGACATTCCATAGAAATGAAATCATATATGTGGCCTTTGGCGTCTCACTTATTTCACTCGATATGTTTTTAAGATTCATCCAAGTTGTAGCTCATTCCTTTTTATGGCCAAACAATATACCATTGCAAGGAGAGACCGCATTTTGTTTAACCATTCACCAGGTGATGGACACTGAGTTATTTCCACTTTTTGGCTATCGTGAGTAATGCTGCTGTGACCATTCACACAAATGTTTTTTGTGCGAACATGTCTTGAATTCTCTTGGGTATAAACGTAGGTGTGGAAGTGCTAGGTCACACGGTAACTCTATGTTTACAGGTCTTTGACCCATTTAAATTTTTGTATATGGCAGGAGGTATGGATCTGTATTCTTCGTTTTCTACTGCTGCTGTAACAAATCACCACAAATTTAGTGGCTTAAAATAACGCCAATTATAGCTTTGAAGGTGAGAAGTCAGAAATGGATCTTACTTGACTAAAATCAAGGTTTGGCAGGGCTGCATTCCTTCTGGAGCTTCTGAGAGAATCCATTTCCTTGCCTTGTGCAGCATTTAGATACCGCCAATATCCTTGGCTCGTGGCCTCTTCCTCCATCTTCAAAGCCAGCAACAGTGGGTTGAGTCTTTTTCATGCTGTCAATTCTCTGGTCCTCCTTCTTTTATTTTTAGTGACCTCTGTGAGTACATTATGCTCATCCAGGTAATCTCTTTTAAGGACAGCTGATCAGCAACCTAATTCCATCTGCAAACTTAATTCCCCCCTGCCAAGTAACCTAACATATTCACAGGTTTTGGGAATTACAGTGTGGACACCTTAGGGGGGGGACCATCATTCTGCCTACTACAAGGTTCAACTTCATTCCTTTTTTTTTTTTTTTTAATTTTTTTTTTTCTTTTTTGCCTGCACCATGCAGCATGTGTGATCTTAGTTCCCCGACCAGGGATCGAACCCATGCCCACGCATTGGGAGCAGGGTCTTAACCACTGGACCGCCAGGAAGTCCCTCAACTTCATTTCTTTTGCATGTGACTGTCTAATTGTCACACCATTTGTTGAAAAGACTATTCTTTTCCCGTTGAATGGTTCTGGCACCCTTGTTGAAGATCCACTGACCAGAGACATACGGTTTGCTGTTGCTGTTTTTCATCTCAGTTCTATTCTATTGATATATATGTCTATCCTTATGTCAATACCACACTGTTTGGCCACTGTAGCTTGTAGTAAGTTTGAAATCAAGAAGTGTGAGTCCTCCAACTTAGTTCTTTTTCCAGATTGGTTGGCTATTCGGGGTCCTTGAATTTCCATGTGAATTTTGGAGTCAGCTTGTCAATATCTACAAAAAAAGCTCTCAGAATTTTGATAGGGATTGGCATTGTATCTATAGACCAACTGGGGGAGTGTTGCTATCTTAACAATATGAAATCTTCCAACCCATGAACATGGGATGTTTTTCCATTTACTTAGATCATCTTTCAACTTTTTTCAGCTAAGTTTTATAGTTTTCAGTGTACAAGTCTTGCACCTCTTTTGCTAAATTTATTAAGCATTTTATTCTTGTTGATGCTACTGTAAATGGAATTGTTTTCTTGCTACTTCTTTTAAAGATGCACTACCTATGCAAATCTCATTGCACTTACTACACTCTCCTAAACTCTCTGCTTCTGAGACGTGGTCCAGCTGCCTTGACCCACCAGGCCTCCTGCCCCTTCCAGTCCTCCCTGCCCATGTTATTTCCTGAATATTCTATCTTATCAGCCAAGGCCCACTTGCCTCAGTCTGGGAGTTTCTCCAGGCAAGAGCCAAGGGTGGAGGACTCTCTGAGTCCTCAGCGAGACACAGAGGTCTCCAGAGAGAATATGCAGGAGAAACTCAACAAGTGTATTTTCAGCCCCTACACTGTGCCATAATTCAGGGGGCTTTGGAGGACTCGGTGAACATAACAAATATCCCTGTCCTCATCAAGTCTATATTTTAATTAAAGAGAGAGACGACAAATACCAGCAAGACAAACATAAGTTCAGGAATGCAAAGTCCACCAAAACGCGCCCTCCTCCAGGAAATCACCTCCCTCCACCCGACCCCAGGTCCCCCTCTTCCCGAGCCTGGAAGCTCTGAGCTCCCTTCTCTGGCCCCGCCCTGATACCG